TTCAGTATCTTTAACTACTATTGCTAATTCCATGCAGCACAAATAGGAAATGTCAGCAAGCAAATTTCCTGGGCTTACAGATTTCTTCAAAAATACTTTTCCCCCCTTTCAGTCTGTGACATTATTTAAGTGAGATACCTTCTTCCATTGGTGCAAATAACAGCTGCTAACTGAAGGCCGGTCTGCAACGATGTGACACGTTCCAGTTCCTGCAGAGAGACAGTGGGTTAAACAAATACAAGTCAAAGTCACGGTGCACACCAGCAGAGACTAGCGACTCGCAGATTTCTCTTGACATGTTATAAGGACTTTGCAGGATTTATTCCAGCATTTTATGCATGCTAAACACTGGAATGCAACAGTAACATAAACTATCTTTTAAAACACAATTCTCTTTTGAAGACAGACACTTGAATTCCATTTTCATTGCAGTGGGACCCCCTACATTTAACTACAGTACGTTCAGCCTAAGAATCTCTACACCAGAGCATTATGCACCACAGCAGAATGATCAAAGCTTCAGCGAGAGAAGCATAGGCTTTAATTTGCACTGATATGCCAAAGAGAAGCAAAACAACAAAAAGCAACAAAAAAACCACGTTTCACATGGCATTTTCTTGTTTAGAGGCACTCGTGCTCTGCCAGTTCAATGGATGTCACTTCATAATGAACATTAACTGTATCCTGTTGAATTTCAGCTGAAAACTCTTCAGCAGAGGTGAGCTGAATATAGCTTGATTTTGACTTCGTGAAGTACCTAGTATAATCCCAACTCCTTCTAAAAATATTTTTTTCAATATACCTATTAGGATTTCTTTTGTCAAGGACAGCACTAAAGAAAAGCAAACATTAAATGAAAAAAAAATTCTTTTTTAAATACTGCTCATAATCTCAAAACATATCAAGTACTTTCCATAGGTAGAAGGGAGATTTTCACTTTGAAAACTACTCTAATTCTAATGATATAGCAAGCAAAACCAAGTTTAAAGTCTAGTTCCGTTTAACATTAGCTCCTGGTCAGTTTTCCAAGCTACAAGTAATTCTGGCACATCACTGAGCTGCATCTCTCACCAAAAGCAGTTTCCTCTTTATGTCACCAACATCGCTTTTAGAAAAATGACAACTTAGTTGCTGATATGCATAACATCTTAAAAAAATAAAGATTATTTTCCTCAGTATCTACTTTCCTCTATAGACACAGTTTGCAAATGTCAGAGCCTTTCAGAAGCCACTATTCCCTTTTTCCGGAGGAAATGCACACGATAAGGAACAACTCCATTCCAGTCTTGCCTCTTGCAGAGATTCTGTAAAACCTCTCTCCCCACATTTCGCGTTTAGGGCTGAACGTAGCCATTCTCTTCTCAAAGACAATCTTCCACCCGTTGGTTGTGATTCTGCATCATTTAATTCTGTACTTTTCAAATTTATTAATAAATATACCACAACGAAGTAAAAAAAGGAGGTTTTCTAGGTGAAGCTGCTGGATTCAGAAAAAGCAGCACTTGCTCGACAACATCAGTTCTGAACATGCACCACAGAGAAACTACACCAGAAGGATCTGACAGGGTTCAAGCACCCTTTCTGCCTCCTTCTACAACACCTTCTGAAGTCTCAACCACCGTAGCACTCACCCAGCCTCCTTCTGCAATAGCCTCCTACCCGACTCCTTTAACTAAAATTGAAATAGTATTACCCTTACAGCTTCTTCTTCAACCAGCTGTTGCAGGTGACGACACAAGAAGCCATGGTCACGCGCCCTCCCCCATTTTTCCTCCAGCAGCAGCGCGCCTCCTTCGACCCACCAAAACGCCAGAGCACAGGCAGGACACTCGCAAGGTCCCTAAAGCTCGGTGTGAAGGCAACAGGCACAAGCAAGCGGAAGAGGAAGTTGTGTCCTTTCAATGAAAGAGGAAAATAATTCCAGCTTCATGACCTCTCCCATGGGTTAACCCCCAGGAGGTACAAGCTCCAGCCTGCAGCAACAGCGTCCCAGCTGAGAAGCAGGAGGGATGTAACAGGAAGAAGGTTTAAGAGGAAAAGGAGGAAAAGGAGGAAAAAGGAGGGAGGGAACTAACAAAACCAAACCAAGCAACCAAGCAACCAAAACACCACCACACAAGAGAACTCTACCCCTAAATGCAGCCATCGTTGCCCTCCTACGCTCTCTCCAGCTTCAGTGAGAAGTGCCACAACCACTGGTACAACAACGCTTACACCAGGTGCCGTACACACACAGAATTATCCACCACAGGATAACTCTCAGGCTACTTCGATAACAATCTCAAGTTTTCATTTTGCAGAATTCGCACTGTCTACAGGGGCACTATTAAAAATAAATGGATAGAAGAAAAACACGCTTTCTCCTTTGAAAATCATTATGATAGCTGTTCCAATTACGTCTGGGGAGCAAGGAGAGAAGCAGCGCCGATATTCTATTGCAGGCATCTGAACAGTTTTGCTTTGTTTTGCTTTTATAGATCTTTGGATGTATCGAGGCTCTATTTCTAGCTCAGTCGTCTCTTAGATGTTTTCTTCTCATGATTCCCTGAGATTAGACGCAGGTGTCTGATTACATGTGCCCAAGAAAGGTCATTGCTGTTCTCCCTTAGGGCAAGAGATCTGAAACCACTCCTAAACACAGGCACGAAAGAAGCTCCTGTTCAAGTCCATCACAGGTACTTTCAAGTTTTCAAACAGCCTTCTCGAAATGGTCATGTAGCCAAAGTCTTCATTCTCTTAAGGGCCTGCAGCTCAATATGCCCTTGGTTCTTTTCGCTCTGCAGATACGGCTTAGCATACATTGACACCTAGTTCCCTCCAGGCATTAGCATCTTTGCTAACAAATTACAGGATTTAATGCTCAAAATCAAGTGCAACACCACAATGGCACAACAGAGTGGTTTACTCTTAAAAAATGAGTGTTAGTTACCTCACCTGAACATAGGCAGGCTGTTTTTCAAGAATCAAGTCTGCAACTTTCTTAGATACCTTAAAAAGAAGAATATTACATGTAATACACAGCAATCTCAATTAAGCAGGCCATCCCTATATGAAAGCTCTTCAAGTTTGTGATTCTGTATCATTTAATTCCGTAGTTTTCAAATTTATTAATAAATATGCCACAACAAAGTAAAAAAATCCTAACAATGACAATCACCTTCCCTTAGGAGCAATATAAGAAAAATGTTAACAGTTCCATGTAGGAATTAGCAGGTGCTTTTAAATTAGCCCTTACCTCTCTGCTTGTTATGGAACACACGGGAATAGAAAATGGAAACTCTATAGGACGCTGCAAACGTTTCCATTCTGCCTATGCTACTGCTAGAGGACAAATTTAGGTTAACCAGCTACAACAGAGAGCTGAGAAAGCCATAAGGACACACACCTCCCAGACTGACATTGTCCTAAATAAAACACATGGCAAAATGAACATTCACGCCATGCACATTATACCCTTTCTTCAGAAACCAAAATATGCATATTTTAATGTTTTCTCCACTGTTCTGAACTAACAGTTCAAAATATTACTGAGAGCTGCTGTCTGTACTGAATTTAAAAATGGGCATTGATACCTTGATCAGTCTGTCACGCAGAAGCACACACACTTAAAAAGGTAATCAACACTGAAAGTCAAATAAATGCAAACTTGAGAATAGTGTATTTTGTTTTGTTTCTCAGCAGGGACTACACATGTTTAAGAAGAAATAGTTTCACACATGACAAAGACATTAAAGATATTGCTTTATATTCTTCTTGGGGAACTATGCTCCCAGAAGTGAAGACCTGAGTGAGCTGGAATCCAGCCGGACGGAAAACTGCCAAGGGAAAACTACAGAAACTACAGAGCCTATGGGAAGCCCAAGAACAAAGGCACAACCAAGATCAGCAGTGTAAAACCAGCTGGTAACAGCCAGCGAGAAGCAGATGATCAGAGCTCTATTTCCTATAATTCACACTCATCTGAGTGCTTTGTGTTACAGAAATTCAGAAGTTGGAATTCCCTGTAAAATTACTATGGTAAATTCCTATAGATACGGGCACAGAAGTGGAAAAGGCAGTATTTATTCTTTTTCAAAAGCAGAGGTACTGTGTGATCTGTCAGCAGACTTCCTGAGTCCTCTAACAACCGATTTACAAGCAGCATTAAAACATTTTTAGTACTAATTTAAGAGTGTAAAACATTCTGCAGTACTGTCTTCCATGAAGGACACCGACGTCCTTTATGACAGACATTGTCACACGATAAATAGACAACAATTGAGACATGAGAGGAAAACATCCAACATTCTTTCACACTCCACCTGGAACTGGGACACAAGGCTATGATACAGAGCACAGACGAAATTTTTAGCAACTTGGCCCATGCCCAAGGAAGAAGACAAACCCAAGTAACGATTCTTTCCTGTAGCAGAATTGCATTTAGTTAAGGAAGACAAAAGAAAGGGCCGACCCTAACTGGGGAGCGTGGTGGGGGAAGAACTGGACACGTTTCTAGTCAGAAGTTTTGGCTTTTAGAGTTTTTGTTTGTTTGTTCTCTAAACGAAAGACACTTCTGGGTCATATTTACTGGAAACCTGGTGCTCAGTCCTCACCCCAGAACTCACTGGGGGCACTGAAACTGCTCCCCGTGCCGCAGCCAGTTTATGTCGCGCTGGCAGAAAGGCCAAGACTGATAACAGGATTTAGGATTATCCAGCGTATCTCAGCGAATTTTTCTCTGTGTTTCCTTGCCAAACTAAGTCACCATCAGATGTCCTCTTAAACTCTAAAAAAACCCCTAAACCCACAAACCACAAAACCCAAAAGCCAACACCCACTTTCAACCTCCTTCCTTATACCTCTTGGTGAGAAACATGGAATATTCTTTTGCTCAATTTCTCACTAATACTTTACAAAAGTTCATAGGTTTATTCTGGGAAAAGCAATCTTAGGCAGAAGGAAATTTTTCTCTGTGTGCTGTTAAGGATTCAAAATTCTCCTTCTGCACATTTCATTCATTTAAAGACAGGATTACTACAGTTATTTTATTTGCAGATACTCTCCAATTGCCACAGTCAATATACTCCTTTCCTCTATCATATTACTCATCTTTAAAGAGCAATAAATCAATAATTAATGTACGAATAGAAAATAAAAAAGTCCAAAATGTAACAAGTACCTCTCAGAAGCTGCAACTCCAATCTGCCCTCAAACTATAGTTACTACTCATTGTTACGTTTCATTTGTTTTATTATGTAATAACTCCGTATGAGAATTCACTAGAAATCCTCACGGACGATTAACAAATTGGCAAATGAAAAACGAGAGAAAGTAGCAACTCTAAGGAAAGCATTTTTAAAACATTTTATGTTTTCCATTACAAAAAGCCCTCAAAAAAAGACATACTACCAGGCTATTCTTTGCTGTGCTGAACATTACTTTTCGTGATACACACAGGAAAAGCTGAACATGCAGAAAATCAAGTTTCTAATGAAATAGTTCAGCACATTTGCTCCTAGTTACAATACTTTAGATTTACTTCCATGATTTCATATGACTGTATAACTTTCCATTATAAAAACATGCAAAAAAATATTAAAAGAAAAATTACTAAATATCTAACGTGTTTAAGAAATTAAAACTTTTTCAGTTATGCTCCTGGCTATACTTGCAGAGGATCTAACAAATTGCCCAAGGGTACAGAGGAAACAACTTTACTTACAGCAGCTATTACTTGTTTTAATTTGTCTCTGTACTCTTCCAGTTCTTGAAGACTAAGTACTGGAGGAAGCCTCTGCATGTAAACAAAACATTAAATTCACTGAGAAATTCAAGGATGTTAAATACACATGTAATATTACCTAACCAACCAAGCAATTCCACTAAAGAAACATTCTCACTGCTTCTGCAATGTAATTTGCAGAATGAATCCACCATTTCAAATGATGCATACCAAAATAAACCAGAGTCAAAATAAACAAAATGTTATTACATTTACAGAATTTAATATCGTAATTTCCTCAAAGTTACCTTATTTAAACCTTAAATAAATGTATGCACACAACACCCCCAATCATTGAAATTATTACGTCCCAGTCAGTTTGCTAAAAAACTACAAAAAACGTAGAATGGAATTTTTTCCCCTCCAACTGTTCTGGCTTTTTCACTATAGTTTGAATTATTAAGGGCCTGTTAGCACCATAGGTATGAATTCCATCACGTTAAGAGACTCCATACCAATACTCTATGCTAGAAGTTCCACACCACCCGAAGACTAAATGGGAGGTTTTCTATTAATGCAAGATACAACAAACAAAACCAGAATACTTTTGACCCTCATCTTCTGTTACATTACTGTATTTTCTTTTAATGAGAGAGCAAACCTCCAACTCGTACTTCACAATGTCAAACGAATCATTTGAAAAATAAACTTCTTCAATGCTATTAATTATTTCTTGCTGAGCTTGAGGATCAATGGGCTCTTCACGTAGTTCTCTGAGCTCCTCCTTCACAAAACAAAAAAGCATTTCCATGATGCACTATCACATCCTAACAAGAACGTTTTACCAAAACGCTTTCCAAAAGCCATTTACAATATCAGCACAAGAAGCAATGGCAAAGAACAGAAAGATCGGTACCCTGCAGCTTGTCCTTCCCATCACCACCAGCAAGATAGTTAAAACTTGTCAAAGAACAGAGTGCAGATTGCAGTGCTTCAGATCACTTAAACACTTCTTCGTTAATAAATTTACAGCACAAATGCATGTTGAGTGCACAGGTTTCGGGAGGTTTGGGTCGGGGGGTTTTTTACACTAGCATTTCAATGAAACCTAAGCAATGACATTTTTGGCTTTGTAGTAGACCACAGTTTTCAGCACAAAAGTTCACGTGATGCCCTAAGCAGCAGGTGTCCCTTCCATAGTGCTACTTAAATAGATCAGTGAGAGACCATTTCTGGGAAGAGGAAGGAAAAAAACCCCAACAGAACCTATCTGTCTCACAGCTTTGTCTACTGGAAGAAGCCATTGCTAAATAAAACAGTCTTTGCATCTACACACTTCTCACATGATTTTGCCTTCCGGTTCCATGGAAATGTAATTTTACAGGTCTAGGAGCCTGTGGCAATTCCTTGAAATATACTTCAGAAGAGTGACTTCACTTCAGACTCATGCGAAATGCAGTTCAGCAAGTTTCAGATGACTTACCCAGCTATTTCCCAAGTGCCTCACACTCCCACTCTCCTTGTATTCTACACTGTCTGTAACACCAAAGCCACTATTGTTCCGTCAAATGAACCAGTACCAGTAGCAAACACCTTCTGCATTCCAGTCACTATGAACTGACAGACTCGGGAGGTGCAGACATTATAAAAAAGTTAACTGAGACTAATCAGAGAAAAAAAAATCCAAAATTTTCTGATCTAATTAGAAGCTAAAGTTCAGCAATAGCCTATGCACCTCTAAACAAAGAACGCCAGGGGTCAAGCCTGTGCTATTTGACACAGCCCCCTCTGCCACGAGCCAAAAAGATGCCAGCGAACATGCTGGCGATTCACATCCCTCCATCATTAACCTGGTAACACCTATGTCAAAAGATAATCCTGAATACCAGGACAAGGGCTCTGCTCAACAAGTTCAATCAGCAGGTACATTGCAAAAACATCCTACCATCATCAAACAATGCATAAAAATATTCACAATACATACACACAGTATTTTATCCACATGACAAGATATATTTATATATTCTAAAAGTCTCATAAAGTACACATAACTGTATCACTAAGCTCACGTCAAACCTTTTTTTCCTTTCCCCCTTCCCCAGCTAATTCACAGCAAGGAAAGGCGGGCCCACCGGGAAGGCTGTGGTACTCCCTTATCTTTCACATGAAATGCCCAGAACCTTCTTTTGATCTCACCTTTTTCAGTATGTACACACAGCACTTATTAAAAAGCCCTCACTCTACCAAAACAAACATTACACTGTGAAAACAATTTTCCCAGTGGAGAGAACAACAAAGCCTGATCCTAGAACAGATATTAGCTAGACCACTGCCTAATGCACTCCTGAAAAGCACTCAGCTGCTGGGGAAATAGAAACTCACAGAGGCTAAGAAAGCCACACTTCTATATCTACAGGAAAAGCACAAAAATCCCAAAAACCTTTCATCGTTGTTTGGCACCACAAGCCACAAAGTCAACTAATATCTGTATATTGCATATGAGCTGATTATCATCAAGATAAACGTAACCTCATTCAGTCAGCTCTTCATTAACCACACCACTCGAGTTCAAGTGTTCAAAATATCTATCTCGTTCTTCTGTGACAGAATCTACTGAAGAAAATTGGTATCAGCTTGGGAAACAACCGAGCTGACAATAACAGAATGGTTCCAGAAGAATTACCCATCCCCGGGGTGATCAGGGTACACAGATAAAGTAAGGCATCTCAGTCAAAAAAAGTTATGAAATCCCTCTGCAGATGACTTCTCTTCCAGAAATTTGGCCTTGTGGTTCAGATTTGCCTTATCTACAGGCTACATCACAGACTTAACCTATTATACGCTTATTTCTCTGTGTGACCCAGGCAGTATGGGTCTGTATTGCAACAGAAAGTAAAGCAAGTCTGCTGGTGATTTGCCTTCATACGATGGAAGCAAACTGAAATTTTTCAAGATAGTTGCAAAACTTACTGGAGTACTGGGTAATGTGAGTGTATACACTCAGAGCTATTCAGGAAAAATAACCAGGCACCAAATCATTTCATTGTTTAAAAATCAATCTGGAGATAAAATTTCAAGTGTGACAACAAAAGTGCAGCATCATGACCATTCTCTCATCAAAACAGTACTCGGCCAGTGAGCTTGGGACTTTTGCTATTCAAGAAACAAACAAAACCAGTTATTAAAATGCGGCAGTAGAGAGCAATATATGCTTTTAAATAGCAGGTTACATCAGAAGGAAGTTACGCTTTTACTCATTGCCTTTAACAATCTGCACCTTCTCTTCACTTGCATTCAAAAGTGCCAAACATCCATTATTACAAAATAGTTATTGCGGGGTGTTAGCAAAGCTGCTTGCCCCTATTTCTGATTTGTGACATCAGTACGATGCTGGGGCACTGAACAGAGCTTCAGCTCAAAACAAATGCCCACAGCCAAAAGCTCAAGGTCTGCCAACTTCTGGGCAGCACTGACACCGAACCTCCTTGATGGCTCTCGCATCACACAGCCTGTATCTCCCCCTCCCCACCCCAAAAAACCTCCTGTTTTCAAGAAAGGGTGTCTGAATCTGTGCTCAGTTACAAGAGGCATACTACAGCGTCTCAGCCGATGTCTCCTGGTTTGAAAAGCAAAATCCTGCAATAAAAGTTTTAGCAAAGTTAAGGAGGCACGGCAATATAAATCCTTCCTCCAAAAGAAACAGGTTCGTAGCAAAGTCACCGTGACAAACGGCTTGGGAACATAACCAGGAGTTAAACTGAGCAAAACACAGTAGTTTTACTCAAGGTTGTTGTGATCCAGTGTTTTCATTTAATCACATACTCATGCACTTTATAAGAGTTTCAATCAATGCATCGTGTTGAGATGGAAAAAGTTAACGTAAGCCACTCAGCATTTTGAGAATTGCTCACCTAAAACGTTTTGGAAGAAAAAAAACAAACAGAAGACAGAAAAGTACAAAAGTCTTATTCTTTGACACAGAAAAGAATAATACTCTAATTTTATCAGCTCTAAAATAAATAATGTTGATGCATTTTTCTTTTTATGCACAGAATTTATAACTATTACGCTTTTGATGTTCTGTTTGCAGAACAGTTGCAGATAATGTTTTCACATTACAAATGTTTGACATAAATGTGTGCAAAAATGACAAATTATTGACGGGTATTTGTTTTTCCATTGTTTTTGACAGACGGTCTAAGCTTACCAGACACAGAACATCTAACTGTTCAGGAACAGAAACCCAGCCAAGTTACCCTACACCTCCTTTTACCTCGAGAGTCAACTTGGCAAAAGAGACAGTTTGAAACTAGATGCTCAGTGGACGGCAGGAATCTGCGATTTTGAAATCTAAGCCATGGAGGTGAGGCAGTTCTTTCAACATCACTGCATCGGAATACTTTCACACTTTGAAATCAAACTGGGGGCCACTTCTTATGGCCACTTCTATTATTTGCCAATTCAGAGACTGTTACTTGATATTTTAAACACATATTAACGCTGATTTTCTGGTCTGCCTGAGTACAAGCAACATATTACATAGTACTTATAGAGAGACAAAGAAACAGAGGAGAGGGTCTGGGGTTTTTATTTTTTAAATTATTGTAAAATAAGGCATCCAAATTCAAGTCAGTAACATAAATATCTCACTGGTTAAAGGCAAAATCCAGATTAGCAGAATACAATAAACAACATCCACAGCAAATCCTGTGGGTCAAATATTATAACAATTGTACCCTCGGATTTGTGAGACAGGAGTGAGCAGGCATCATTTAAGTAGCAAGACCCAAAAAATGCTATAAAACTATTATTATTATAACATTTAAAGTAGAACAACAAGTTAATTATATAAGCACCAAAAGCACAAAGAGTCTAAATACCAAGGCTAGAACTACACAGGCTACTCAAATAGTATCTGCCTTCCAAAGCAAAATAAAAAAAAAGAAGCACTTTCATGTTTCCTTTTTTTCATCTTCGTTCTAACAGGTAACCTAGATAATATGAAGATCAGCATCCAATGACAACTCAGAAGTTCCAATAATGAAATTTTAATGCACGTTCATTCTGAGTCAGTGAACTGTTTCACCTCACTACTCTTTATTCTTCCATGAAGATGCTGTAAAATATTTTCAGAAAGAAAACTGTCAGAAAAAACAGCAGCAAACCTGGTGTTGAGAAAAAACAACCCACAAATATCTAACTATAAAAATGAAAAAACAAAAATGAAGGAGATGGAAGTGGAGAGTGTGTATCATACCTTACTAGGAATCCGAAAGTTTTCAATAGGACTGAGGTCATGAATGCTCTCCTGAGGACTTCTTAGACCCTTTAAAAGAACGTTAATAGACAGTTAAGATTGACTACTTTATGTATCTTGAAATCAAACTGCAGAAGCGTCACCTGGTGTTGAATATATATGCCCACAAGTCCTGTAATAAATTACACTGACATAAAGCTGGAAGGCTAAGACCTTATGCGACAGAAACTTAAGCAAGGCCACTGGGGTACAAATCACACTCCTCAAACATCTAAACATCTCCAACCTCATGCTGCAATATGTACCTTCTCAGTACAGTCCAACATTCCCTTCGTCAAGCTCACTTATATGCTCCTCTCAACTTCCAGATGTTATTTTAAATTTAAAAATGAATGTGTCAAAAAACATAATACACTTTGTTTTCACTAACTTAACGGTTTAACAGAACAAATTATTTGAGTTCAAGTTAACTGCCACCTACTCCATAACAAACTTATATTTTTGCTTGAGGGCATATTTGTCTATTTACCACATAAAACTCTTAGGATTGGTTTGCCTTACGTGTAACTGAACGGAGAAAGAAGCATAATCCAGATCAGCTGCTCTATATAATCAATATTCTTTAAAGCCACATAAATATAATATGCTCTAGTAGACTGAAGCTTTGTACAGGAAACACCAATTGATCAAGCGAGTATGTAATCACTGAATATCCAACACCACAGAACGTGCTGCTTAGTGCATTTTCTGCCAGCTCCCTAGGCAGAGGTGAACCTAAACGTTCACGTTTCGGACACGGTTCTGACTCCAGCTGCCCTTGAGACGTCAAGGCGCTCACACGAGCCATGAGTTTTGGGCAGACTTCCCTCCTACCCCTGCAGCTGACGCTAACAGCATCCCTTCCAGGCCCTGGGTACCCAGACTTTCTGTGAAACGAAAGGGCATACGCAGTTACGGTGGGAGTTCATGGTGAGAAAAGTTTGTGTTTACCCTTGGAAACTGACGAAGTGTTTTACAAATTCATTGCCTTTATGGTAACTGTTACATTTTACAATTGGTTCAACTTCCTAGGATGCAAAACCTCTTCGTCTTGGATTTGATTCTCAGATTTCCCTGTGTATCATTTCAAAACATCCTCCCCTTCCATTCAGCACCAACCGAAGGTGACTCACCCCTACGCACCAGAAGCTGGAGGTAACAAACAACAAAAGCAACTGCTACACCTTCTCGTACTGTGCGTGGAATCTTCCACACTACCTCTCAAAAATCCACAGTACCAGCAGCTTATCTTCAGAAGTGGTAAGAAGTTTCACTTACCAAATGCTAAATGGAACTCAGTCCTTCTGAAAGGCTGAAAATTGCCTAGGTCGCCTCATTTTCAGACCACATATTGGGCAGGCTTCCCACAACTCCTCTTAGTCAAACTGAAAACTGGCTACATACCCTTTCACTGAAGCAGTAAACCAAACATTATTTTGGAAATTCAGCTTCTGTGGCAGGGCCCCTTTTTAAGCCCTGTCTCCCCACAATAAGCATCACAATCTGAGGAGATAGTTGAGAAAAACCCCACAAAGCTCAGTTTCTGACTTTCCCATCATCTTCTGTAAGTATGCAGGGTACCTGACGTGCTGGGTGACTCCAAGTGATTTTCTAAGCTCTCAAGTTTAGATGCGTGGGCAAACAGGCTTCATTTTAGAGGCGTTTCATATACAGAAATGACTCTGCTCTTCCAGTACGCTCCTTTACAAAGGCTCGCAACCTCAGAAACCACACCAGACCTACATAATCCTAGAGACGGCTGGTACAAAGCACTGGGCTAAGAGAAGCCCATCCCGTACGTGCCCACCCAAATACTTGCCCGACCCCTCCTGACCCACGGCGTTTGCCCCCAGACAGAGCCGAGGCCAAAGGGCCGCGCCCTCCCTCGCAGGAACCCGCCTGTTCTCGCACAGTGTTCTCAGACAGGTGCCTCCACCCCGTGATTTACAGGGGAAAAGCAAAACAAAGCGGCAGCCGGATGCCCGCGTTCCGAGGGGCAGTACACGCCCCTCCCCACGGGCCGCGCTGA